TAATATTTCAAACAAAATTTATAAAAATATTAGAAATTTTCGGACGTTTGTTATCAATTAACATACACATTCGCTGAAGTGTAATTACACATCGTAGTTAAATACTAGAAAATCATATAAAGTCAAAATATATAATTATTCCACGTATAATATTTAAATGAATTGTAATTTTTTAGTTATTATTAATAGAAATGCTAGAAATTTAGGGAGAAATGCTGAATTATTTATCAAAGATGTTATAGATGTTAAAGTGCATTCTATACAATAAATAATTATGTATATTGTCCAGTGGCATGATATGTCGGCAACATGAAATATTTTGTGAAAAATCTCTTTGGCTTAGTCATATTTATGTGTATATCATTTCCATTTACGATTATAAGGCAATCTATAATTAAATTATGAAATATATAACTAAATTTTTAAAAGTATAAAATATTGTGAATTAATATAAAATTATGAAAACAAAAAATTCTTTGTGAAATTAAAAAAAATCTTTGACTACATCCATATTATTTTTTTTTTAATTATTTGGTCAAAGGCATTTTTAAGTTATTAAACTTTTGAAAATTGCTACTTGGATTTTATATGTAAATTAATTTTTATTTTGAATTGTAATATAAACGATTGCACCAGTAGATCATCCGCATTTTCAACAATCAATAGAAACCGACATCATGACTATGTTTTTCTAAAACCTTCAGAAAATGATGCAGTTTTATAAACTTCAATTTTGAAATATGCGCACAGTACTTTTTATGTAAAAATCCTTCGATAGTTCGTATTATTGGTATAAAGATGATTGGCGAATTGGCAGAAGACAGTTTAGAGTCGGTTAAAGCATCAAGCAGGACTGATGGTTTTTCTGCCAGTAAGATTCTGGAGCTGCAAAACAAGGATGTTTTTATTTGCTCGCTCTTTTCTATTTTATTTTTATCTTTTAATGCAGAAGTGTTCTATTCTATTGGCAAATTGTTAGATCACTCTTGTACGTCTGGGCATCTTCGTATTTTAAAGTCCGCCACGTCCACTGTCAATGTACTCGAACCTCTGTGGGATAGAGAGATCCTTGACTTAGAAAATCTTATCCCGTGAGAAAGAATGTACTTAGATTTTCAACACGAAACAATTGCGAAACTTATAAAAAATAAAGAAAGCGTGCGGAATAATTATAATAGAAAAATTTATTTAAAGATAAATGTTTTTTCCGCCACTTTGAAAAATTTCTAAATGATTGTTTTTTTCTTTTGATTCTTTTTTTTTACTATTGCGGATATAAAAAAATTACTTTAAACGAGATTTTCTTTTTCCTCCCAAAAACTTTGTTTTATTTTTTGAAAAGTAGGAATGCATTTTATTATCATGCACGAACTGATTTCTTAATTAAATATTCTTTGCTTCATAAGGATCAAATAAGTGAAGGCGCATGCTCCCGAAATAAAGTTCCATCGCCAAAAAATAGTACTGAAACTCTAGCAAATAATATCATTCATAAGTAGAAAGTTAATGCATATATTTTAGAGCAGTGACTTTCATGCGGATTAAATTTGTTTGTTAATAGGAAGATGCCAGACTTACATTGTATTTAGAGACTATATTTTCAAGTCACCTTCAGACACTGATGCAAAATAGAAATTAAAAGTGCGTAAATATTTAATATTTTATTTATTTATTAAGAAAATTATTAATTAAAAATATTTGACTTGATTGCAAAACCTCGATAACAGGACTTTTTTACTCGTGTCTGAAAGTCAAGTGAATCTCACATTCTGGTTGTATAATATACCTCCTTTTCCTCGGTGGCGACGGAAGCGTAAGTCCTAGCAGGTACTTCCGGTTCTTTGGCAGGTCCGATCGCGTGCACGTAAATGAGTGCACCGGCGATACCACCTATAATCGGACCTACCCAATATACCCAGTGATGATCAAAAACGCCCATCACCACGGCGCTGCCTAGCGAACGCGCAGGATTCATTCCGGCACCCGTTCGCGGCACCTGATCATTAAAAATTATTACAAAGACGTTAAGTAACTACGAAAACAAAAGATAGAATCAATTCTTAAATTTTTATAATATTTCGTATCTTTTTAAGCAATTGCAAAAATAAAAGATTAATCTTGAAACCATTTTTAAAAACTTTTAAATGTAATTTTGGAGAAACGAAATTTAATGACAATAATTAAATTAGATTAAATTAGCTGGAATAATTAAAACTAATTAATTCGACAAAAATATTTTGAGATAAATGTCAAAATTATAGTACGTTTGCAAATGTCAGATTTACTTAATTAAATTCATTTAATTCTATAATATAATTTTAAATGCATAGGAATTTAATAGGAATACTTACGCCGACAATATGGCTGACACTGACCGACAGACCGATTATGAGCGGTGCAATGCCTTTACTGTCTGGTTTAGCGGCGTCGCACGCTCCACAAACCACCAGCACCAGGACCAACGCGAGGAAGAACTCTATGCCGAGTCCTTGCACCGGAGTGGTCCCAGTGGAGAGCTTCACCACGCCCAGGAAATTTTCCATTGTGTCAGGTGAAAGGGCCCTTAAAATCGCTGAACCTGCGATGGCACCGACGCATTGTGCCACGACATACAGAATACCCCTGATAATCGGTACCTGTGAGAAGTACCTTATATTTTATTAAGAAAAACTGCCGATAAAACATACCAGAAAACAAAAAGAATAGAATATTTCAGCATAATTAATTCAGCAGCAGTGAATTTATTTTCAAAAATAAAAATTTTTTTCATTATCTTATATAGTAATGTCGTTAAAATTAATTGTTAATAACGTCTGATTTTAATTAATTTCAATATTAATAATCGTCTATTTTGATCATATCCAATAGATTCATTTCTTGTAGACATGAAGATGATCGATTTTCATCACAAGATATCAAATTCTAGGATAGGTTTCATTCGTAGAATAAAGGCGAGTCTCAGTTTACACATAATATATATATATATATATATATATATATATATATATACACATAGAGTGTGCCAAAATTGTGAAAACGGTCGAATATCTCGAAAACAAAACATTTTTGAGAAAAATGTTTTAGGTAGAAGTTGTAAGGTTTCAAAAGATCGATTTTTTAAAATGGAAACCCCCATTTTTTATTAAGTATTCTCGTAGCTTACCTCAAGAGTTTTTCAAAATACTGTAATGAAGTTATTTTTCTTTGAGTACTTTTCAAGTTTAAAATTAGGAGCTAGAAACGAATAAATTATTATTTAATACGTATTTTTACCTTGCCGACGACGATGAGACCAAATGTGACCGCCGGATTGATGTGACCTCCAGAAACATGACCTATCCCTTGAATTATAACTGCCACTGCAAGACCGAAAGCCAGGCTTATGGCGATGACATTACCGGTTGCTACAGAACCACAGCCGAAGAAATTGAGTAGCAAAGTGCCGAGTAATTCCGCCAGAAGGGCGCGAGGGAGAGCGGCCTTCTTGTTGGTGAGCTCGTCAGCGCCTAGGGCGCTTTTTAGGTTTACCATCTGCGCGAAAATACATACACAGAAAGTAAATAAAAAGAAAAATAAAATTAACGAGGAGAAGGAAAAGTATATAATATAAGAAAAGAATATAATATAAGTAAGTAGTAAAGAATAAAAATATTATTATTAAAACGACGAAAAACATTTTAAAATAGTTTTAGGGTTAGAAGTTAGTTTAGGGTAGAAGAAAAAGTGGTAGGTTGATATTACAGAATTATGAAATCAATCCATAATATGATTTCCTTATATCGCACCGTAAGAAAGCATAATTATCTATTGAGATTTTAAAATATAGATGTGTGAAATTTCTAAGGGTTGTCATTTAAATACTTTTTTCCAAAGAAAATAGTAAAGAAATTTTTTTCGAGAGACGAAACACATTTAATTCGAAATCTTTATGAAATGACTTAAAGCATATTTGAAATAGAATGAACTTCCTCTTCAAACTGTAACACTCTTCTTTAGCAGTCTTTAGCGATTTCGTTTGGTGGATCTAGATCGAGGACGCGACGTTTACGAGTGCGACCACAATGAAAACTTCGACAAGCTGCATTACGTATGCAAATAGTTACATCCTCGCCTCGAACGGTCGGCTAGAATTACTTAATTGCGTTAAAGCTCGTTTGATTGTCACCTACGCGGTTTAATTACAATCAGATCTTTTCTTTTTAATTGAAATGAAAAGTTTAAACGTTTAAAATACTTATATTATGATTCTACTTATAATTACAGTTTTAAAAAGACTAGTGGCTTCTTTAAGAAAAATAAGATCGTAAAACTGAAAAAACTATTGTCATCAATTTTGTGTTTTCATAAAAAAAATAAAAATTGTTCAGCATATATTATATAATACCTAATACATTATTTTTACTTCAGACATATAATTCACTTTCTCTTCTTAAATGAGTAAGATAAGTGAATTAATTTTTAATTACGATAAAATTTCGATTAAATAAAATGATTTATATAATTATATAATTATTGATGTATCTAGAATAATAGAAAAATAATAATTATTCCATCTCTTGATAATTAATTGAAAAAAATGTTTTTATAATATGTTTTCATATACCATATAATATTTAATTTTATTATATATTTTTTATACACTCTCAGTCAATTAATTTTCTTAACTGTAATCTTTTACCTTCTTTCTTTCAGAAATATGATTTCTTATATTCTTTATATAATTTATCACTGTTTTTTGTTTATCATGCGATTTCTTTCCTCAATTAATATTGCGAGCAATAAATCGTTGTCAGGGACAACGCTGATTTCCCTTCCAAAAATGCCATCTGGCAAACGGATTACGCAATTACATAGGCGTCATTACTAAAGTTGTGAGCCGAGATGATCCGATCTTACAGATGATGTCACATGCCGAGATTGTTCCTCCTTCGCGTCCGCTCGACTATGTCATAAAACTATTTGTCGCTATGTGGTCGATTTGCTAAATTGTACCGTTACGAGGTTCCGTAGATCCAAAAGGAACTGTATTTATTTATTCATGCATTTATACTGCACGCCCAATATCGACCTCCATTTTCGCAAATGTGAGATCACAGATGCTAAGAAATTATCATTAGAATAATTAATATTTTATAATATTTAAATCTAAGTAGTACTTTTATATAAAAGTGTTACTTTATTAATTTTATTCATTTTATTCATTTTAATTCTATAATTTAATTAAATTTTTTTACATTAATAATTAAAATAATTAATACGCGCTCAGAAAATAAAAATTGCTATTTTTTTTGTACAGAATACATTTCGTAGAATTTGATATTTTAAAAATAAATTCTTCGATAGACCTTGAATCTATTCTTTTTGAATCAAAATTTTCAAGCGTCTTGTACACAGCTCTTTATCACATTTTCTAAAATATCGTGTGACTTTCATTACTATTTTTTTTATTTTGTTTGCATGGCATTATTAGCTGAATTAGTGAATTCCGCTTGACCGGTATTTTCACCGCTTTGTAAAAGCGCCATAACATTCGCACGTTAATATAGACCGCAGTGTCAGGAAATTATGAGAAATTTTAGTCGAATCTTTATTTTATATATTTATCTCCCATTCCATTTATCCTGTTATTATCCAATCAATGAGATTACAATTTCATAAATGCATATTTCCTGCAAGTTTGAATTGCGACCGAGAATCCACGCTGTTTCGATCAATTGCGCGTTAACAGATTGAGCAATTATTTATTATTTGCGTTAGTAATTCTCTGCTGAAATGTTATGGCAACTTTACAGAAACGCAAATCTCTTCGAGAAACCATCACTGACAAACTTTTTCGTGATATTTTATAAGACGCTGCCTAGCTTCAAAAGTTTTTATTAGTTCTTGCTTTTGTTTATTTAATTCGCATGATATTATTTTATAATTTTTGTTCCTATTTACTGTATTATTTAATATATTATTTAACCTGTAACATAGTAATTTTATTTAAAAATATATAATTTTAATACTCCTTTAAATATCTTTATATGACCTTTTAATTTGAGTTACAATATTCTGCTCGATTACAATGTGATTATAATTATTTAAAAATCATTCGAATACGTTTTATCCTTCGATTGTTTTCAAAGTCACGAAAAAATATTCAGATTTTATTTCTTTCTTACAGGAAAAATCTCAGCCTCAGTTAAACTAATCATCTGTCAACGATCAAATGATTGCTTTAACAATCAGTTAATAAATCGGTACAATATAAATGTACTATACAGACAGCGAAACCTCGAAAGTTTCCGGTCTTTTGTGCTCTCGTTCCCTCGATTTTTTTGTCATAAGTTTTTGCTATTCTCCTATACCGTCTAGTTTCCTTTTCGCACGCTTCGCTACATTTGACAGCGAAAAAAGGCTGTCCTTCGCGGTACGATTATCGATATCATGTTCCACCTGGCGGCAATAAAATTCCCCCCGTTTTATCTCATTCAACAATCCTCTTTAGATTCGTTTTTCTGCAGCTGCCATCGATCGTTCCGCGAAAGCGAAGACCGGTCGTATTTGGAAGCATAAATCATCCGTTAGATCCCCAGCGATTTATCGTCGATCGTTAGAGAGATCGTTATCCTTATATAGTCTCTCAGGATTTTTCTTCTCTATTCATCTTATTTTCCCGTCCTCTTTCTCCGGTGGACATTATTATACGGCTTCTTTTCGATCCCTTTAAAGGATCGATCGTCGATCGGCCATGTCCGACTGGCGATTCACTCGTTCCACTTTAGGCCGAAACGAATAGCCTTTTCGTCTCATCGTCGATCGGTGAAAGCTTAATTTAGTTTAAATTGAATCAATTTAATTTTATCTTAAACTCTAAGATTTTTTGGAAATAAAATTTTAATTAAAATTCAAATATATTAATTTTAATGCATCCCTGGTCAAATTTAAATTTAATCTCTCATCAAGTCTATATATTTAGTTTCCTATATTCATAATTAATTTTTAGTTCTATTTAGATTATAATTTAATCCCTTATTAAATCCAATAATTTATGAACTTTAAAATTGTCTTTGATTAATTTATAAGTATCTTAATTTGCACAGAAATAGTGCGATTGATTAAGTGAATAATTTATTATCTGTTTAACAAAACTTTGCAAAGAATAATACCATAATTTACGTAGCGATAACAATTAATAATTTTTTTCTAATAGTATCAATTGATAATTCTTTCTTTCAAGATTATTCTTAAATGTCTTAAATGTCGAATATCATGACGTATATCCATCGATGAAGGAGATATCAGGAACGATGGCAAAACACAAAGCGCGTGACTTTTGTGAAAAACAGCACGCGATAAAATAGCGAAAATAGCTAAAACGTTCGTATGAACGTCACGTATTTACTAGAGAACGCGTCCACGATTCGCATACGTACCTCGCATTTAACTTTAAATGCTAGTTTGATTCAAATCACAAATGTTTCGTTCTGTGTCTTGCGTAGCGAGATTTGCGTAGCGTTTCAGCAGATTGAAATTACGATTCTAGACATGTTACTCTAACGCGAAACTATTCTTACATGTTTGTTATCATTTGTACCAAAGCTTGCCCGGTAAGATTTTACCCCGTCTTATATATATATCTGAGATAAAACTAACTTTGGCATCTGATAAATTTTTAATTTTAACAATCATATACCTTTTAATATTCTTTTTTGTTATGTTTACTAAAAACTTACTTTTCATCTAAATATAGAAAAATACATTATAAAATAAAATTAATAAAACAGATTATAAATATGAACATGATGATGACAAAGATTGAAACAGTTCAGCACATTCTAAGTAAAATTAAATAAAAATTATAAATAAACCTCGACTCACCTCGAAATTTCGTAACTAGTCCGACTAACTGAGAGAAATTCTTTCTGGTCCTTCTGGACAGCTTCTCGCGAATCCCTTGACTCGGGAGCGCGTTAAACGTCTCTCAGTCAATTTCTTCGAGAATTGCTCAAATTTTTTTGATATATCTTCCTTTCGGGTCCTTTGAGAATCCTTTTTAGAAATCCCCCGAATGGAGAACCGGCTCGCGACGAAGTCGAGGTAACTCCTTGAGAGCGACCGAGCGACAACTGTCGCGGGCTGAGTTCTCGGGCCGATCGGGCCTCACGTAGATAGGTATCCGTTCTAGTAATTCTACCGGCTGGCTGGCGAACAGCAAAGTAGTAGGGATATCACGGTTAAAAGCGGCGAGTGCGCGAGCACAAACAACGTGGACGAGTCCACGTGTGAAGCGCGTACGTGTACGCGTACAGACCGTTTTGATAAGTAAAAAGTCTCTCCGCGCGAGGATGGCTTACTTCCGCAAACGCGTCGCCGATAAAGATGCGGTTGATGATCTTGACTCAAAGATAAATTTCATACGGGAGAAAAAAAATTCTTTTGAAAGAATGATTCAAGCGTGAAAATGTAAATGTAATGTGTTGAGAAACCTGCGGCTTAAGAGAGATCTCGGATTTCGAGAATTTGTAAAAAAAAGTTTGTAAGAGAACTTGAATTTATATTTAAATAAAATCCATTTTGCATAAACGATGCCATTAGAAATACATTCAAAAATTGATTTATAGAAATAATCTGAAAATTATTTCTGCAATTAATAAGAGAAATGAAACTCTTTTAGTAAAATGATGGCATTGATGAATGAAATGCTTATTGACAAGAAAAAAAATTGTATTTTGTTATAACTTTACAACATTGAGAAAATTGTTGATTGAAGACTTTGATCTTATTAAATCAAATGGACAACAAATCGTAATATAAAACAATCAAATTTTAATTGAAAAACTTATTCTCTATCGTCCAAAAAGTGTATCTTAGATGGAAACAAACAAATTTTTTATCGAAATTAATACAAAATTCCTCGATCTCTAGATTGTTTAGTTAAAAGAGCTTGTTCCTCCAGGATTGTTTTCGATTCATCTCTTGGCCTCTTGGCGCAATCTTCTTCACGTTGGCTGTGAAACGCGATCGTTTTAGGAAGTTGGAAAGGAAAGGTTGCAAAACTCGTTTGAGGCGCCGAACAACGACATCGCCTGAAATACTCGAGAAAAGAATGAACCGACAAAAAAAGATTCCGAAGTACCATATAATATTTTAATGCGGCATGACACTTTTACATTCACACGGATAAAATACAAAGATATCAGTGTAAAGATATTTATAGATATCCTATCGAAATAATTTCCAATGCAAAGATCCAATAAAAGATACAGAACGACAGTGCAGTTTTTGCATCGCTGCAAATGGCTTTTTGCCTTCGGTATTCTTTCGATCGTACCTTTCCTGAGACGTGTAATCGGAAATGGCGTTTTCCCGATAGGAAAAGGAAAGTACGGTTTCAACGGTACTTCTTTGCAGTGCACGCGATGCATAACGAAGGGGAATCATCCAACCACGACGACGATTACTCCGAATGAATTCATTCTGGCCTTAACCTACGATTAAACTGTACAATTTAATTCTTTTCATTAGCTTCAATCACACTTTTCCATACTATTTTGATTTGATATTAATTCGGATTAATATTTCTCAGTTGCGAGACTTCTCTCAGTTGATCTGCTTAAAAATAACAATGCCACTGTATTACATTTTATAATTTCATTATAATTTCATTATTTTTATTTTCTTCTCATTTTAATTATATCTTTTACTTAACTTATTTATATTTTGTTTATATTTTCATTGCATTATTTTTGCAATATCTTTAATATCATTTTTATCATTTCATTTTTCTTTTAAACTCTCTTCTCTCATTGGATCTAAGTTTATTTTCAACACCCTTTGCATAAAATATGAAACGAAAAAATACACGGAAAAAAACATCTCAAGTAAATACAAAGATTTCTCACGTTGAACATTAGTATTCTTGAAGTATCGAGTCTATCATCTTACGCAGCGCGTTCCTCTTTTGTCTCGTTAATCACATGAGTAAGGCAAGTATTATCGAGACAATCGATGCACAAATAAATCGACATTCAGGAAACGTGGAGGCGGTGGAAAATGCGATGTAAAAAAATGTTAAGTAGCTATTCGATCGATTTGTGTAATCCGAAACGCAATTTATCCCGCACAATCAGCCTTACAGCCATTGATAAATCTCTCACGTGTCCGAATAAATGCATGCTGTGATAGAAACGTGAAACTATTGATGAAATTACTGATGCGGTGATCTATATCGAATTTCGTGGTTGGTACACATTGTATTCGTAAAATTTAAATACCTGTAACAGGTTTATAAAATTTTTCCAGAAATTATCTACGATTTTCTTTTTGACATTTTATCCTCCAGGTGATTTTTGGACGCGAATTACGAAAAATAAAAATTAAAAAAATTAAATATGCACGTACTTGTAAGATATTTAAAAAAATCAGCTTGTAACATGTTTACATGATGAACGAGACGAGATTCAACCACGACTATGATGCGAACGTAATAAAACGTTTTATTCGTCATTGTTTTAGCGATGCGTACCATCAATCAACCAATTAACCATTGGAGGAATTAAACTGTGGCGTTGTTTTGAACAAAGCATTCCTTCGAATTACGTATTTTGTCTAGAGCCGAACTATAATTGTATCGGTTGTTAAAAAGAGAGAGAGAGGGAAAGAGCGATTGTGCAATATCGAGTGACAACATGTTCGGGACTGCATAATGCAAACACGACGGTGCGTATGTCGCGTAGGAGAAGTCGTATTGTTAGAATACCGTTTTCATTGCCGAGCAGCTGAGCTCTTGGCCACGTTGTCATCTGGGCGCTGAATCAAGGTTTATACAGCTCAGAGTGCAAGTGTGCTTATTTATTGTACATTTAACGCACACACCGCAAGAAGGATCGCACAAATAGAGAGAGCAGCAAGAGAAAATAGGATATTCCCACAAAAATCTAATTTATACTAATCGTAATTATTACTAGTAATAATATAAGTATAATGTTGGAAATTATTTATTTTAAGTGTTAAAGGTGTTGTAATACTTAAAATAATTAATTAATCAATCTTCCAATATTAAATATTTGTTAAATAAGAATTTTGTTAGAGACACTAGAATGAAGAATACGAAATTGTATTTTTTATGAAACAAAAATATTAAAGAGATATGAAAGGAAGTGAACTTTTTAAGGAGTTTTCGAGAAATTTGATAAAAATTTAAAGAGGTAAATTTAATAATTTTATTCGTGTTAATTCCGTAAAATAAGATCTATGGATGGTCTCATTGAAAAAATAAATTGGCTCGTTATCAAACGGTATATTTGAGACGTACAATCAAATAGGAAGATATGAGATGATAACGCGGGTTCGATGACATAGAGACGATCCTGATTTGTCCGTCAAAAGTCGATGAATCATCTCGCGTTTTCCGAGCACATTCTGCGAAGCGGTACGACAGGATCATCATCGTCATCGCCGAGTCATTATTGCTCTTTTCACATGACCACACGTCAACTACCTCATCGTTTTGTCTTCCTGCAAACTAAGAATACGCATGAAGCACGTATTCATATATTAGCAAATTTTGTAACAAAATTTGCATTAAATATTCTTTACAATAACATTAAACATTTAAACGTATACGAAAGATAGTTTAATCTTGATAACATTAGAAAACAATGTACGAAATTAGGATTAACATCATAAAAATTAGATATCGACACTCATAATAATATAAAAATTAGAAATTAACTTTAATATGTTATGATATTATTGATAATAAAAGAATTAAATATTAATATCATAAATGATATTATGGGCAGGACTGAGACGTTGCGATGTTTAAAAAACATGATTAAACAGTATATAGATCTTTATTACGCATTATTCTCTTGTTGACAATTGTCTTATACATAATCTTGTCATCAATGGACCTCGCGCGTGGTCGAGCAATTCTTTTTTCATTTCCATATATGTTTGATCTCGTCACTCTAAATCGATTCGTCTGAAAAAGTCGTCTTGAGGATCAGGATAATAATAAGTCCACGATCAATGTTTCCTTGCAAGGAATCGAGATCCGGACGTCACCGCGATATGTCATCTACAAATACCGCATGATAAGACATAATTATATTATTTATAATTATATTATATTATATTTACATACTGAGTGTTTTACATACTTTTCATTTTACTAATAATAATTATTATTTGATTTCATTTAATTCATTTCAATTATTCGTTGACTTTTCCGTCTTATCTGCTTTGTAAATTTTGCGATTTCATTAAATCGCACTGTCTGATTTAGACGGATTTCGGATTTTGCAGACGCAGACTTACGTGGTTCAAAACAGTTTCATAAGGCGCTGCTTCATGTCAGATTTTAAGGAGGCAGCTCGAAGAAAACCAGGCGTATTCGAACGCGTATCAATCCTCGTTTCATTTCAAAGGAATAGACGCGCGTGAGATCGAATGATCGACCCGCATTATTATATCTCCCGATTGCCGCAACATGAGAAGCCGTAGATAACTCCAAAAATAAATTCTCCAATTAACAACAAAGAGAGCCTTGCCTCTCAAACGAACTGGCATATTTTTCATTATAACGCTCGAAGATACTAAATGGACGGATCTGATTCTTACGTCCGGGAGAGCACTCGGGATTGAGATTCGGATCTCTTTGATGATTAAAATTTGTTTTCCCTAAAAAAAGTGTTAACACGTGGCATTTTTCACAGATTGACATATGCAATTATACGACTTCCGCGAGCTTTCCTGCGGCGCGTCGCAAACCGATCGTTACGGGTGCAAGAAACCGCGGCTATGACGTACCCCGTGTTCATCGCGTCCATCGGCTGACCTCACGTATGCTAATTGTCGCCGTTTTATCTGCACGCGAACTCACCATCGCCATAATGCCAGTTAACGGCTGTGAAATAGAACGGCCAGGAGGACTGTGCGGGAATCGAGACACTTAAAATAACAAGTAACTCTCGACAACGATTCCGACGGCTGGCCTTAATTGCAAATTTTGATAAAGTCACGACTAATCGTAAGATATTTGACGAAGGCATCGTTATTTCTCTAAAATTTCTTAAAAATCAATTTATTAGTTTAAAAGATTGAGACGAAACGAGCAGTTTTGAAGAAGAGATGATGTAATTTTGCGTGGAAATGAATTAAATCAATTAAAGGAATGTGATTTAAA